TGCGCCCAGTGCCTTCTCCTCCTCCTGTGTATGTTGTGGTAGAATATATATAACATAAAATTTGTCGTGTTAGCTGTTTTTAAGTTACAGTCACTGGCTTTAGTTCTGTTCAGTGCTGTGCAACCGCCACCACTATTTCCAAAATATTTTCATCACCCAAACAGAGACTCTGCACCTACTGAGCCATAACTCCCATTCCCCCTTCCTCAGCCCCTGGCCCCTCTCGTCTCCTGCGCCCATCAGCCCAGCAGCCCAGCACTGTCTCTATGCATGAACTGCTCTACATAGTTCATACCGGTGGACTCCTATAGCATTTGTCTGCTCTGACACTCTTTGCTGCCTCTCTGCCCCGGAGCACACTGTCCGGCCCCCAGCTCCCACCCTGGGACTGTCAGCTCATCACTCTCCAGGGCCCTTCTTGGTTTCCCTCAGTTAGCCTGCTCTTTCTCCGGCTGGAACGGTTGGGGTGAAGTGCTCGTCCTGCCCGACCTGGCTGCTCTGTATGTGGTTATCTGTGCTCCGTCTTCCCTCCACCCACACTCCCCGCTGAACCAAGAACAGCTGGGGGAGCAGCTGGTGGAGCGGCAGGGCTGGGTGGCAGAGGAGATGGGCGTGGACGTCTGTCTCAGTGGAACATTCACAGGAACTCACTCTGCACGGGAGGGCCGGGGAATGGTCTTGTAAGAGGGGTCTCTGGGTCCAGGCTGCATGCGTTCAAACCCAGGCTTCACACTTACTAGCTGTGACTACATTTCCTAACCCCTGGAAGCCTCTGGTTCCTCAGCTGTAAAATGCGGCTACTAGTCGTGCCTACCTCACCAGCTAGTGAAGAGTAAGTGAGTTCCAGTGTGTAGAGCGCTCAGAACAGTGCTTCCGTGGGCTGCAGGCGCTGCCTTACAAGCGTGTGCCCTTCTTACTGCCATTGCAGCCAACGTCCAACGTTGTGAGGACGAAGTGAGATAATCCATGTAAATTATTTCAAAACTGGCTGGCATGGGAAAAGCACTTAGTAAATGTCAGCTATCAGTGTGTGTGTGTGTGTGTGTGTGTGTGTGTGTGTGTTTATATCAAAACCAGCTTAGCCTGAGGTCTGCCCCAGAGGCTGTCTCCAGCTTGAAGTCACCACTGTTCTAATACAGGGGACTGGACCACCCAGGGGCAGAGGAAGATGAACCTGCCTGCATTTCCTGTTCTTTTGAAAACAAGAGCTGAGAAATAGGAAACCTGTGAGCTGGATGCCCAGGGCAGGTCCTGGGATCTAGCTGACTTAAAAACTAGCGCAGCCTGCACTAGGAGGTGGCGTCTGTCCGAGTTCACAGCACAGTCTTGGCATTGTCACCTTCTTTTCTTTTTAAATGAGGGAACAAAATACATGAATTCGAATCCTTTCTAACCTCCGGCAAAAAAGATCCTCGCCTTCCATCGGAATTCGGAAGACGGAGGGGGCTTTGCTGTTTATGTGGGTGCCTGCAGTTTCATCAGGATTCTCGTTTTTTTAAACCCACAGAAGAAAAGTTATCCTCTGTGAAAACCAAGCTTTACAGAACCGTGTCTCTGTGCTCTGGTTTTAATTGCCAGTTAAAAGAAACCCCAGCCATGCTTGTTACATGGTATCGTGAATGTTACCAGGGCCTGCAGAGGCCTGGGGCTGGCGAAGCTGGAGAAGCCATAGCCTTCTTGCCAATTTGTTCCTCTTGGTGAAGAAAGGAGGACTCAGAACTAGCGGGGGAAATGGAACTTCGGCTTCCAGGAGGCAGAAGAAATATATGTGTGTGTGCGCGCATGCGTGTGTGCGTGTGCGTGTGTGTGTGTTGGGGGATGCACTGTGGGAACAGAGCGTGGTTTCTGGGGATCCTGTTGTGTCTCCCACTCAGAGCCCCCTGAGCTCCCTCGTGTCTGCACCACCATCACTTACAGTGCTCCCTCTCTGGCTACATATGTTCCTCATGCTGGATGTGGACTGGGGCCATGCCAGAGGGATGCCCCAGCCTCCCCTAGGTGGTCCCAGGCTCAGCAGGCACCCCTACTGTGTGTGTTGAAACAGCATAATTTTCTGCTTAAGATGAAAGGGCTTTGTTTTTGTAGGTGTTTGAGGGCCAGGGAGGCTAGAGTGCAGACTGGCTGTCAGTAAATGCTTGCTGAAGACGGATTGGCCATCAGTCAAATTTCTCCTCTGGCCTTTGCTTTAGATTCTGGAAGCAACACTGCTACACCTCATGTATTGAGCCGGCTTCCCTGAGCCCCTAGCCTCTCTCTCGAAACAAGCTGGACCCTCTCTGAAGCTGCCTGCGTACCCATAGGCCAAGGAAAGGGGCAGAGAAGGAGGGTTCTCGGGAACTGGTCCTTTTCCAGACGGTTTAGTGCAGCTTCTCAAAGCACCTACTAGCTTCCTTCCGTTGAGCTGCTGGCCTTCGGTGAGGGTCCGGTTCACTAAGTGGGGCACACAGCTCCCTCCCGTGAAGGACGCCCCGGCCAGCAGGTCAGGAGGCAGCGGCGCGTGGGGCGGTGCCCGGGCTCTCAGGCTGGCTGCTGCCGTGGGCCTTGCTCTACTGCGGCCCCTTCCACGTGTTAGCGGCTGTCCTTGCGCACAGACAGGCACCCAAGTAACACGTGACCTGAGGAACTGCCGGTCAGCATGACCCGAACACCCCCTTTCCCCAGCAGCACATGCTTAAGCCCTCGGAGCTAGATGGAGACGCTTGGTCTAAAAGGCAGGCCTTCAGGGGCTCCCTGCCCCCTGGCCGATCACATGGGGCCCAGGACATGTGCCAGACGCCGGACTAGGCAGCAGAGGAAGGAAGGAAAGTCTCATCACCCATCGCCTGCTGTGCTCCACGGGGCTCTGTGTTATCTCCTTTAATTGTCTGGCAATGCCTCTCTTCTGAGGTATCACATCCCCTGCTACTACAGGGAGAAAACGGAAGCAAAATAAAGAGAAACTGCATCTGTGAGCGCCCGCTGCTCAGGGACTGTCCGGCACCACCTCGCCTCGTGTCATCCTCACAGCAGTCTCCTGAGGTGTGATGATTGGTTCCGGAGGAGCTGACGCCAGGACGCAGTTTGACTGACTCTGAGTCCTCCCTCTTCCTCTACCTTCCTGGTTGACCTGTGGACCACAGCATCGCATCGTGAGGGCTTGTCAGAAACGCAGAATCCCGCCCGTCCCACCTGCCGAAACCCAGCTGCACTTTAGCTCATCACAGACACAGCCAAGTTTGAGGAGCACTGCCACTCCCGCCAGCTGTTAGCTAAGAGCAGCCCAAGAGGGGAGTGGAGGAAGCGCAGGGTGGCTGAGGAGACTTCCTGGAGGGGTGCTTGGGCAGAGCCTGTGCAGAGGGGGTCCCTGCCCGCGGGGAGGAGCAGACGTCATGGGGAATCCATGAATGGACACTTGCATGGTCCCCACACATCCAGAGACGGGGCCGCCTGCAGGATGGTCAGCTCAGAGCTCCCTCAGTGAGATGTGCACCTGGGATGCCCTTCTGAGGAGGAGGACGGGTCTGAAGCTTGAAGGGCTTAGTTTGGTAAAAGTTTCCCAAGGGAGCCCGGCTCTGAGCAAGGTGTCACACTCTGCGTCAGCAGCCCTGCATCTGTGTCTGGCCAGAACGAGCCACCAGGAGGCCTGGTTGGGCCACGCTGGGTCTGCGTGCACGTGGGCAGGTGTCTGTTGCTCTTGGGCAAGAAGCCAGGTGACTGAGGAGGTGGAGGCCCGATAGGGGAGGGAGTGTAGAGGACGCTGGCAGGCGAGGGCGGGCGTGGACGCGGGTGGAAGCAGAGTGCTGGTTCCCACTCTGCTGGGCGGGTTTGTTTCTCTTCTCCTTTGCCTCCTTCCCCAGGCGTGTCCACAGGCGAGGTTTCATCTGGCTTTTCCTCAGGCTGAGACTTGGAAACTTGTGGCCTCCCTGGCAACACACCCCTTGGGTTCCTCATGGGGCAGAGAGCAGAGCAGCTGGGGACCCCGCCCCCTTGGGAGACCAGGGTGTGTGGGCTGAGGGCCTGCACCGGTGGGTGGGTGGGGGAAGGTAAGCGTCGGATTAGTTTGGATGTGGTCCAGGGCAGGCACTTCTTCCTCAGTCGGCAGTCCAGCAGCGGAGCTGCCTTGGGAGAAAGGCAGAGAGAGGGCGCAGGAACCTCGAGGAGGGGAGGCCGCCCCGAACAGCCGGAGAATTCCGGAGGAAGGGCTCCCCGGGTGCCAGCCGAACTGCTGTTATTTCAGAGGATTCTAGTGACTTTCCTCAGGGAGTGGCTTGTGCTAGTATCTGATGTTCATGCCAACTTTGATCTGATTTTTAAAATTCCACCTTCGCTCAAATAGCAGTTGGCGATTCTGGTTAAACCCACGCCCCAGAACTCCCCAGAGAGAGCTGAGAAGTCGTGGCTGTGTCTAGTGGCTGGATTCCCTCTTCTGCACGTTCCGCCAGCTCAGGCCGCCCTGGCCTGCCTTTGTGGACCCCTGAATAGAGCGCTAGGGCGGTGAAGGGGGGGTCGTTCTGATTCTTTTCTGCCTTTATAGGGAGCCCCCAGGCATGGCAGCGATTCTGGTGAACTGTCTGGAAGGCATGAAGCATAGATTTGAGTAGAACGGGTCCAAGGAGGGACTAAGGGGTACACTTCCAGCTTGAAGGGGAAAACATCTCCCTAGGAGAACAGCATGACACGGCCAGGCGTCAGGGAGGCTCTGGGTTACCGGCCCTGGTGAGGGCAGGATGGTGGCCATCTGGAAGGAGCAGGGGAGAGGCAGGTTTGAGCCACGCCATCTGGGAAGAAGGCAATGTGTGAAGAGGCCACGCAGGCAGCGCCTCACAGCTGTCCCCTTTCACATCGCCCCAGCCTGGTCCTGTGCTTGGAGAAAGGACAGAGCCACAGCATATCCGAGCTGGGAAGGCTTCCTTGTTACACAGGTGGGAGAGGAGGCCCTGACGGGTGAGTGGCTTGGCCAGTGTCATTGTGCAAGTCAGTGATGATGATTAAAACAGCTGTTCTTTTTATGCCGTTTCTAGAGCACTCAGCATAGAAACCCCAGCTTGGAGCCCCGTATCCTCATTCATCCCTGTATCCATCCGTGGTCCTCAGGATCTGGTCCCGAGCCTGCTGAGGCTCCCCATCCTGCACTTCCCTCCATCCTCAGACCACCCGCTCCCTGGGCTCTACAGCAGCCTCCCGCCTGTCCTGCTGCTCCCAGCCCTGCTTCCTCCCAGCCGTCCTGCCCCAGCCAGTGGCCTTCCTCACACAGGAGCCACCTTCCTCTAACCCCGTTGTTACTCTCGGCATCAAGGTCAGTCTCCTGCCCTCCCTCACAGGACCCTTCCTGGTCTGGCCCCTGCCCACTGCCCACTGCCCTTCTCATCTTCTACAGTGCTGGGCTCTCTCCTCACCACCTCCACTCTTCACCTGCCTGACTCTTCACGTCTGGGCTTAGATACCACTTTCTCCAGGAAACCTTCCTTGAAGCCCCAAGACCGGGTGAGAAGTCTCTTTTGGGGTCTCGGCGCTCCCCATTGTGCTGTCCCATCTCTTACCACCCGGAATCATGATTGCCTGTTGTCTGCAGGCCCCCACCCGCTTCCTGACACTAAGCTGCTGGAGGGAAGGAGTCATAATTGTCTTTCTTACTTGGCGTTGTCCCCAGGGCCTAGAAAGGTATCTAGCACAGTAGGTTTTCAGGAAGTATTTCTTGAATTAATAATTGTGCCGGGCTCTCCCCTGGCGCTTGGCATAGAGTGTCTTATTTAAGCCTCATAAAAGCCCTAAGAAAAGATTTCACTCTTTCCGTTGTACAGGTGACACAACTCAGTGCGTTAAGTCACTGGCGTTGGCCCACCCCTAGAAGGGCAGCCCTGGGGTGGGAGCCCAGGCCTGACAGCCCCTGCTCTCAGTGGCTGAGCTTGTTCATTGGAATTGCGTGGGCTCCCCACTGCAGGTCTGTCACCTCTGCTGAGGCCCTGGCACGCTTAGAGTCCAAGAAGGCACCTCAGTCCCGGTGACCGCGGCTTGGAGGAGCAGCTGAGACGCCGGGCCACCTCCGAGGAGCTGCTCATTCTCCGAACCAGACGGTCCCCATAAAACCCTGGTAGGGCTGCTCCTTGGTCCAGCCCAGCACGACTGTGATTGGAGCCGGCCTGTCAGCAAGATCGTTTGCTCTGTGGATTTTATTCCTTTATTTCTTTTCTTCTTAAAAAGAAAAGAAAAAGAGCAAAGACAGCGCCATGGATTGCCCAGCTGTAAGGCTTCAGGTGTGCAGAGCAGCCAGCTGTGTGGGGACGCCAGGTGTGCTGGGACGAGCTGGATGTGTGGGTGGGCTGGAGGGCAGGCACATCTCCCTCAGGTGTGCTCTATTTATATAAATGACCTCGGAGGCAGCTGCCCGTGTATTGGCACAGGGGTGAGGAGAGGCTTAAAAAGTCACAAAGGGTCTCTCCGCTTCCTGGGGTGTCATGGAGTTGCAGAGGCCTGTTGTGGGAGTGGCACAGTAAGCAGAGGTGGATGAGATGCCTGCCCTGGGTCGGAGGAGGAGGCCAGCCCACCCAGCTGCCCTGTTTTGCATTCCAGCTTAGTGCTCACAGTGGCTGTGTCATCACCACAGCCAAAGGGTGAGACTCCCAGAGGCCTGGGTGCATGAACCAGCCCATCGGATGGTCAAAATGAGCCCAAGGATCGCAGTGGTCTGGCCACATACACTCTGGACTCTGCCAGGTTGTCACCGTTCACAGATTGTGGCTCAAAAAATGGTGGGGCTTTGTGGATACCCAGAAATGGGTTTTTGAAACAAAAGTAACTGGGGGAAAAAATCAGTACTGTGCTCACACACGGGTGCTAATTTAAAGTGAGATTAATTATTGGAGTTCAGTGACCACTCTGGGCATAAAACCATAGGCTTTCAGAACAGAAAAGGATTCTAGGGCTGGTCAATCCATTTAACAGATGGAGGAACTGAGGCCCTGGGAAGGGAAGTGACATGTCCAAGTTCACCCTGATGGCATGTGCAGAGCCAGGTGAACTGGGCTCGGGGCCCCCTGCCTCCATAGCAAGGTGGGAAGCGTGTGTGTTTGCTTTTCACACTGCTTTTCACGGAACGGGACGTGTCCACAGCTTCCATCATCTCCTCTGATTGCGTTGAACATTTTACCTGCATTATCTCATGATAACCTCCCAACAGCCCTGTTTCCATATGGGAAGCCTGAACGCAGAGAGCTTTGGGACCTTTTCCCGGGTACTAAGCCGAGGACCAGGATTTGAACCTGGACAGTGTGCTGCCAGAACCCGCATTCTTACCCCCATCACACACAGAATGTTCTTCATGGCAATGGAAAACGAATATACACCTGCCTCCCCTGCACCCGAGACTGACCGCTGCTCCCTGGGGATGGGAGGTGGCAGAGCTGGGCTCTCCCTCCTGGCACATTAAACGTTAAACATGCTGCTTCAAGGAAGCGTTTCCCAGTGGTCCCTCCTTCCCCCACCCAAGACTGTGACAAAGTGAGAAGGTGCAGTTAGCAGCATAATGTTCATATAAAATTTGCAAGTGGCTATGCTACCTATTTTATAGCCATTTTCAGGACAAAATGATATCATTGCTACCCTTATGGTTTTTTACCTCTTTATAAGAATAACCAGAGTCCTGGTGCACGAATTTGTGGACAGGTTGGGGGGGGTCCCTCTGGGTGGCCTGTGGGGATTGGGCTGAAACTAGCTCTCTGACATCCCCTGAGGGGTCCCAGATTGCGAGAGGTTGCAGGCCAGACCGAGGGTCCCCACCAGTGCACCATCGGGGCCAGGAAGGGACCTCGGGAGGGCTCCAGGGCGTGTTCAGTCCTGTCTCACCCAGTCCCAATCAGGGCCAATCAGGGCCGGCTGGCCAGGGAGGGATGCGGGAGGTTGGCCATTTGGGGAGGGACCACGGAAGGGCTCCAGGGCATGTCCAGCCCATCTCACTCAGTCCCAATTGGCCGGACCCCAGCAGCAAGGTAACCTACTGGTCAGAGCATCTGCCCCCTGGTGGTCAGTGCACATCACAGTGAGTGGTTGAGCGGCCTTAGCATATCATTAGCATATTACACTTTGATTGGTTTAACAGTCAACCAGTCGCCAGACAACTGGACACTTAGCATATTAGGCTTTTATTATATAGGATAGAATTACTTTTTTCTTTGGATTATGTTCTTTGGGCCAGCAGCATCAACATTATCTGGGAGCTCTGAATAAGAATCTGCATTTTAACAAGATCACAGGTGATTCCCTTGCACCTGAGGCCCGAGAAGTACAGCTGCCCCGAGAGGCAGGGCCTGTGTTTGACCCGCTGCTGTCTCCCATGGTGCCTTGCTCTGGGCCTGACAAATGGAAGGTCCTCAGTATTTGTGTCAGTTTGGCAAGTTGAAGGTATTTTTTACCTTCAGCTGAGCCCCTGCCGCAGATGTTTAGGACAGTGAGCAGGGGCAGCTTAGATGGAATGCGAGGGCTCATGATATTTTTCTGGGCTTGAGAAGTAACATTCATTGCTGCAGCTGGGTTGCCTTTGTGCCAGAGTCAACCACGCCCCGGTAGTCTCTCCAAGGTCCCACTCGTGGGCCGGAACACACCCTTTTGTGAGGGTGAAGGGCACTGGGCTGGATTGATTGAGCTTTATTCCGGACACAAGGTTAAATTCCACACATACCCCTCCCCATGACCCTACGCACAGGCCTGCGCTCTGCTCACTGTCCCGGAAAGCGCCCGGCATGTGTCCTGGGCACTCTCTCCTCTGTGCCAAGGGGCCACTGGGGGCAGCGAGCCAATTCTGAAGGTGACTCTTTCTGGCTTTGTCGTCAGCCTGATGAAAGTCCCTCCCTCAGCCTCAGTTCAGGGAAAGGTCAGGATTGTGGAGCTGAGCTGAGGCCTGGCCTAGGAGGCCAGGCCGACTGCATGTGGTTCCTCACCGGCCCAGCCTTCTGGCTAAAGGCCCTGCGGTCTCTTAGTGGGGTCCTGGGGCTCCCACCACATTGAGCTGCTCTCCAGGAGTGATATACAGGCCCCTGTGCTTGGAAGCCAGGGGGGGTCTTCCAGGGCCAGTGCTGAGAAGGGCATGTCAGGAGGGCTGCAGGCACCCCTGGATCAGGTTATCATCTGGGCCCTTCATCGCTAACTTTGTCACACACATCTCATCACGGATATGCATCTCATCACAGATGGGCGGGTGGGGCCAACTTTCCTGTCTTGCCTTCTCTGCCCTCACCTTGAGGGGAACCTGGTTCCCTCCAGTGCAGACCTGTTGGCTCCAGCTCACAGGGCCCAGGGCACAATCTCCCCCAGCTGCCTCTCTGAACTATTGTTTCACCACCTTCATCCAACAGTCCCCTCTTTCAAATTTCTGCCATCTGATTTGACAGTCTCTTATCCCTTCGTTCATTCATTCTTTAACCCACCCATTCATTCATCCATTTGAAACCTAACAGTTCTCAAAGGCCTGCTGTGAATTGAACGTCCATGCCAGGCCCTGAAAACATGGAGATGAAGAAGATACATTCCTGTTCTCAATACCTGGGTGCCCTGACTCCACTCACGCCCTTGATACTGGGCAGATCCTTTCACTCATTGTTTATTGATTCCTTACTGCATTTCCCATGGCCCTTGTGCACTAGTTCTCTTTCTCAGCCATATTTGTACCCAGCTCCTCTATCTCCACAGATGACTTTACCTCTTACTCTCCTGAGATTTCAAGTTCACCCAAAATGAGCTTTTCCAATATTCCTGACTCCCACCTAGAACCTCTCTGTCCATCCTCCAGTCTCAGATGCATCCCAGGACTCCCCTTGTCTTGGCAAATTCTTTGCCTGGCTCCTGGGACCTTGTTTTATATTCCACTACCACATTATCCTCACCTACAACCTAGAGATAATGGTACTCCCTTCATTTGTTTGTAACAAACTTTAAATGAGTTGCTACACTAAGGGCCTAGCACATAGTAAGTACTCACTCTGCATCAGCCATTATAGTGATTCTAGTTCCTCCGAGGCCCCACCCTGCTGTTCACCCCACGTTTCTTCTCTCTTCAGTCTCTCCTCCTCTGGCACTCACCTTCCTTTCCCTTGGCATATAGATGTGCTTAGCCATCCCCCTGCCCATTCTTGGCTGTGAGGTGCCACCTGCCTCCCTTGTCTCTGTTCCCTCCTGTGCATGGCGTCCCCCGTGCTAAGTGTACCCCCCCCCCCCCAGTCGCCATCACTCACATTCCCAGAGGTCTCATCGCCTCCTGCAGCATTTCCAAGTTCTCACCCTCTGCAGCGTTCAGCATTGCCCTATTCTCCTATGCGGTGAGGTGCTGGTGTGGGGACAGCCCAGGAGCCTGGAGAATCCCGGAGATACTGATGCTCTCAACCAGCAAGAGGGACCCCAGAGGTCCCCAAGGGGCTGAGAGTGGGGAAGGGCAGGGCATTGTGGTCGGAGGGTGTCTGTCTCAGTTCCCTGTCACTGGAAGAGTGCCTCTTGGTGGCAATGTTCACGGGGGGAGGAGGGAACTGAGTGGGTAGCTCCAATGGGATTTGAAGAACCCTGAGGCCAAGGTGAGGCCCTCATTGTGGTCATTGAAATTATTGAGGGTGCCCCCAGGGATGGAGCAGAGAGGAAGAGGGTATGCGTGGTGGGCAGAGGAAGCGATCAAGGAGGCATCCGGACTGATGATGATGCTATGGTGGACATGGGGACAGCCTGGAGGTGTGTGTGTGTGTGTGTGTGTGTGTCCATCCGTCCGTCCCTGGGGGCTAGGGGAGTGGGGCAGGATGGTCTCCACTTGGTGAAGGGAGGGGCCAAAGTACTCAGAACTGTCTGGGTTGTCAAATGAGAGGCAGAGGATGGCCAGTTGGTATCAGTAAGAAGGCTTGGAGGCCAACATCTCGGGGGAGAATGTGTGGGGATCCACTGGACTGGAAGTGAGTAAGGGGGTGAGGAGAACACTGGGGCACTTTGGACACCTGGGTCACAGGACTGGGGGGACAGAGGCTGGAGTGGGCACAGTAGGCCTGCAGGTCCAGCGGAGGGTGCGTGTGGCTCCTCGGGGTTCCCACAGCAGAAGGTACAGCCTGAGTCTGTCCTGGCCACACAGGCCGTCACTGTGGGGGACAGGAGACTGGGCTATTCTGAGGTCCCACATCTTTCCAGGCTACTCTCCTAACATCCCCTAAATATGGGGACTCTCCAGAATTCTGCTGTGCCCACTGTGCCCTCCATGCCTGTGACCTGTATCCGGCCACCTGTGGGGCTTTTTCACGTTGCTGTTCTCGCTGGCACCTGTTCAGGACTGGCCGTGTCATTCCTCTTTTCTTCCTCCAGCCTTGCCATGGCTGTGAGTGCCTCCGCCATCCCTGCTGTAAGCCCCTCCGAGCTCCATCTGCCTGGACGAACCCTTCAAAGCTTCTTCCTCCAGCATCCTGTCCTCCGTTCGTCCCCAGTGCCTCCCATGAGGCCCTCCGGGGCCCACACCCGGTCAGGCACACAGCGCTCCAGAGCTGGTTGTGGGATTGAGTGATGGCGAACTCCCAGCCCTGCCCAACAGCATTCACAGCTCTGGGGCAGCAGGTGTGGGAGGAAGTCCACATGGCCAAGGTGTCCAGGCAGGCTGAGCTTGGGGAACAGCAGGCTGGATGACATGCCTGCTCCCTGGGTGCGTGAGAAGAGGCTGATGCTTTAGAGAAGGGCACCACACCCCTCCGGAGGGCATGGGTGCAGCCTCCTGGTTTTGGCTGTGCCACGCATGGTCAGGCTCATCACCAGTCCTTCCAGGGGGCAGTGGAGAAAGCAGGGACCGGGGGCAGTTGGTGGGCCACCAGCTTCAGAATTCATCCCGTCGCAGGTCAGAGGCCTCGCCCATAGGGATGGCCAACCCTGCATGGCCAGGGCTGTACCAGGATTTACAGAGGCCAACGGAGATGGATGGTTGTAGCTGTGTGGCGCTGGGGGTGAGACAAACAATGTGGGTCACCTTCACTGTTCCGGACTCCCTGAAGCAGGAAACCATGTCGAAACAGAAACCTCACAAGCTGGCTGGTTGGATGAGGGCTGGTCTCCGAGGCACCACCACACCCTGAGAGGAGCCTGGGCAGGGTGGGGCGTTGGGCCTTCAGTAGCTGAGCATCCACGATGACATCGGGGCCACTCCTCCTGGGCATGCGCTGGGCAGGGCTTGTGCCTGCATTTGCTCCTGGAGTTTCATCACAGCTGCTATGGGAACCGAGGACCCACTCAGACCTCCGGCTGGATCTGCAGGCCCACCGTGCCGTTCCAGCAGGAGTGTCTCACCTCCATCCCCATGCTGTGCTGAGCGTGCCAAGGCCCTGAGAGGCCCCGTGGCTCACAGCGGGTCCTCAGCCCCGACTGTGGGTTCCAGATGCAGACCCTCTTCGTCCCACTACTGCCACTGGTGGTGGATTAGCATCGGGGTCTCATCTCCTCGCTGCACCACCCATTCCTGGGGGCATGTTCTTCTCGCCTTCAAATCAGCTGGGTCCAGTAGGTGCTTCATTGAATATTTGGTTACCGGGGAATGGTTTCTTCTCAGCTCCGCGTGCTCGCTGGTGTTCCAGCAGGTCTCCTAGGAGCGAGGAGACAGCGGTGTGGCCTTTTGGGCACCTCTGCTGGGTGGCCAGTGGGAATCTAAGTGTCTCTAGGCTCTGGGAAGCTGTGGCTCCATGAGGGGCTTCTCTCAGTCCTGCCACTAACATTCTGTGTGACTTGGGGAGCAGTTCTTACCCTCTCTG